GTATTATTTCAATTGTGTATAGTCTAGTCGTAAGTAGTTTATTTATATAATTTAATATAACATCCCTGTCACTAAAGCACATACATTCTGTTAATCAAATTTTAAAATGTGTTCTCCTATTTATTATTAATTTGCTAGAAAGTATTCCCTATTTGTTTGAATATTTCTAGCCTTATTACAACTTATTACAATAAGTGTGTACTTATTTCACAAATGTAAAATATTAATTTTTTGTTGAAAAATATGCTTTGCATATGGAACAATGTTAATGTCTATTCAGATAAGCACTAATTGGATTTCGCGCAATTTCTGACGAATATATTAATACTACTTTAGTGCTGGCTTTAGTTTTAATACATGAATGTGTTGCTGGTTTAATAGACGTACGCTAATACGTTTTGTAACTTAAGGTAGCGCTAGTTCTGTATACCTTAACACTTAACACTAGGCAATAGCTAAGCCTCTGTAGATTTACAATATGTGGTTGATTTGTATAATGTAAATGATTTCTATATTATTTTTAAAAAAAAAAAGGGATTGTGTTAAAAACAAAGGTTGAACATTATGTATGTAGGTTCTTCACATTTTTTGTATGCAAATTATCTTCCTTTGCCTTCGCCCCATTGGTACACATTGTTTGTAAATGTTCAACACTAGATCTAGGTTTAAACACAGTATAACATTGTCAACATTGATAATGTCTTGTTAAAGAATTAGATACCCAAATTATGAGCTTACCTTGTGCTGATATGGACCAGACACCCAGGAATACTAATGCTAACGTAATCAGAGCCATGTTTGTTTGTTCCCTATTTCTTCAAGTTAATGAAGTAATTATTTCTATGATTTCCGTTTTTTATAAATGAAGACCCAATGCAAATGTTTTAAATGCGCACCAATGTTATGGGTAATAAAAAAAATGCACGCCTTTATTTAAAAACAAGCCATCAGTACCCGTTGCAAGTGAATTGTAGACTTGTAATTTAACTTTCTCGTAATCAAAGTATAGAGAAAATATTGCAATCGTATTGTAATTCCCTGAGTCGGAAAAACATAGATTTGCAATTTTGTCCGTATGTCTATATATGTATGTGTGTACGTGTGTCTGAGAACACGACAACTTTAGTGCCGTTACAGCTAGGTTGATGAAATTTTATTTGTATTATATCAAATTTGTAGTTCTATATCAATTTTTCAGCGATTTACTGTATATTCAAATATATTAGTGACAAAGCAAAGAAATAGCTAAACAGCTAAAAACCAAACACATTTTATACAACATAGGCTATCAATACCTATTAGAAAAACGAAATTGTATACATTACTAGCCGTGCCGGCAGTGCATTGCACTGGTCTCTGTGAAAATCCTATCTGTAAAGGGCAATGACATGTGTGTTTAGTAATCAGTATATAACCGGCATTGTCCACCCTAACTACAACCAACCAAAACCAAAACTCACCTTAAAAAACCGCAAACAAAACACAAAACCAAACACAAACACAAACAAAAAAACGAAAACAAACCAAATGAAAACATAAACTTAACAAATCTCAAACTCAACTCAAACACAAAGAACACGCAAACATAAACGAAAAGTCTCACATTCTAGCCCAGGGCGCGAAATCACACCATGGTGAGGCGCCGGCGGAACCGCCTGTTTCAGCTTAGTAAAAGGCTATATTACCCCAATTTATTCATAGTCTTTTGCACTCACATAGTCTATCGCACTCTTTTAAACGAATGTATACACCATAGTGCTCAAATGATAGTCCAGAGTGCCAAATCAAATCCTGCAGGGGCGCTAAAGGTTTTGCCTGTTTCAATTTAGTGAAAAATTTCAATGCTACAAGCGTATCCGTAAACGGAAAGAAGTAAACATAGAGAACAATTAGTAGCTGGCTACTTATCTGTTATTGATTGTTTTAAATATATTTGTTGTGCAATGCAACGTCATGGTATGCAAACTTTGAAGCTATAAAACCAAACAAAGCTCTTTAAAAGAAATAGTTTCTTCGATCTTGCCTTTACAATCGAGTACATAGTCACACTTTGCACTGCATTATTTGTACCGTTAAAACGTCTGCTTAAAAAAAAGGTACGCACTATGGTAAGATAAATAAGTACGACGTTCATCATGTTTAGTGCGACAGACAAAAACGGATTCCCCTTCTTGCGCAAAAGATCTACGATTTTGATATAATACTTATATGTGAAATTTTATCAACCTAGCTGTAACGGTACTCAAGGTATCGTTTTTACACACACACAGACACACGGACAGAATTTGATATTCCAGTTTTTACAACCCCATTACGCATACAACGCCAACATTTTGATGAATCTGGATTTATAATTTTTGATGATTAAAATAAGTCCTCTATATCCCGGATGTGATGAAGGACTGTCAATATTTTCTCTATACTCTGTATACGAGAAAGTAAAAAAATGTATTTTTTTCTGTGGTTTTGTAATCTATTGCCTTTGTGTTATTTGTATTTTGTAAACTGATTAGCTGGTACATAGTTTAATGGTAATTGTAAAGATAAGTTTAGTAAATAAATATTCTTTCAGTAAAATCCTCTCAACAAAAGAACTTAGGAAGTCATTGGTAATAAGAGCATTATTATCTTCTTTGACTATAACTAAATACATTGAAAAATCTCTGAAAACATAAAAAATAGATGTATTTCTTGACATTTGGCTACAGAGCCTGATTCAGTGAATCCTGTTGCAATATGACTCCATATGGCAACAAACCATTTGCATCTAAATAAGTATGTAAATCATATTACATCATACATATAATACAATATACACAATTTAGAATAGTTTTGAAGTATCATTATAATTTTTTAATAGTGAAGTAGGAAGTAGGCCTACTGTATGAAAAAAAAAATATTTAAAAAATACCATCCTCCATGGTGATCAGCTCGTCAACATTATCACAAAAGTGACATCGGAAATGAAACAAAAATTTCTTTTAAAGATTTTAATAAAGGATGCAACACTATAGTTAATGTGTATCTGTAAAATTAAAGATTTATGTGTGTTCACAATAGTACGTTGCCATAATTATGGCAAAAGTATGCATTATAGGGTTAAACATTGTTATTTTCTTTATGGTAGCTAAGAACGGTTTATAAGCAGGTTTCATGTTAAACGTTCATTAAATACTATAAACCATGATGCACAATAATTATATCGACACGATACGTCGACTACTGCTTTAGTCTATGAGTATTTAAAGTATTATGTACATCAGCGTAGTACAACACAGCAAGACCTCAACTTCTCTCATTTATGTCACCAGCACCTAAACATTTAAGGTTCCGCTAACCATATATTAGCACACCGATCTAAATAAAGAAATTTGACGTAAGAAAATTTTGTAAAATTACTTAGTATTTTCAAACCTATTAATCGACAATCATGGAAATAAAATAAAGTCAAGACGATTAATCTTCCTAATGAAACGAATCAAAACTTCATTTATTTACGTTTTCAAATTGTAATGCTTCTAAATTGTGCTTAATCATTTTTCACGATCTTGTAAAAACATTAAGAGCTTTTTCGGTTTTAAAAACCTCAAGATATTTTTTTTCCGTTTATGCCACAAAGATTTCTGATTTCCGCTGTTGTAAGACGTGTTTCAAAAACTACTAAGTGTAAAATCTACGTCTAATTTCATTATTATAAGCTTTTACTTTCATCACGATTATTGTTTGTTCTTTATGTTTGTTAGGTTAGGTTAAGTTTGCCTGTCGTTGTTGATAATCTCGTAATTTTATTTATATTGTTCTCATTTGACAATGCGAAAATAAATATTGTTTATTCTGATTAGAAATTAAATTTAATAATAACGTAAATCGATAATAAAAAGAGCTATACAAATAGCATGTACTAGCGATCACTCTATCAGCTAACCAAAGAAGGTGAACTCATTTATTTAAGAATGATTGATTTTTTTTTTGCCTGAGTGGGGACAGTGGACCAGTTCTTTAAAGCCGGTTTCATCCTGTCTTATAAAATAAAATATGTTTCATTAAATGTATCAAGAGTATAGATGACAAACACAGTATTTCCAAAAAAAAAAATCATCCTGAGAAAATAAGTTAATAAATCACATTCCAATATTAAAACAGTGCAAAATATAATGGTTTAACATTCATAAAATATTTGCATTCTACTTTTCTGACATTGTACTTAAGTGTTCTTGTAGCTTTTATTTTTTACAGTATCAGTATAAATGTACATCGATTTGATCTAAAAAGTGGACATACTGCATTTGTCCTCTATACCCTCGTTATGCACTCTTACAGAACATGAATTTAAAGCCTGGGGTAGTTTTTAATTTTGGATGTATTTATGACGCTTATTAGAATATGTCGCTAATTCGATAAAAAGAAAATACTGGAAAAAAATAGTTCATACAAATTAAAGATATGGCATAGAAGGATAAGTAGCCTTACTTAAAAAATTCTAAAAAAATGTATTCATGTCGTTATCCAGGTAGAGAGTAACATAGTTCTGCCGCCCCTTTTCATCGTATAACTCTAAGAAAAAAACAGTATAATCTATTTAGGCTATACAATCACACCTAGTATGCAAACTTAAGGGTGCGGCCTGGTGTAGAGTAAAATGCTAGACTATTAACCCGAAAGTTTCGATGTTCTAGTCCGGTTTCAAGTTAGCAGAATGTTCCTGAATCCAACAACAAAAATAAATGCGGTTCGAAATAGTGCTGACAACATTATCCCTTCATATGCCAAGAAAACGTATCGATTCTGCTGCATCTGCCCCATGTGTTATGGGCACAAACATGTTGATGATAGAGAATATTATTTAAAAAGAGAAACGTATGGTATGCATTATAATATATGAAGCAATATAAAACAACACGTAAAATAATTAGACAGGCACAACATGTTGAGCACTACTTTGACTGTGTTCCTAATATTACTGGAAAAAAGCGTAGCACCACCGCACCAAGACATTCACTTCTTACATCTTAAATAACGATAGTAACTAAAGTTAATCAAAACTTGATTTATTTGCATTTACAAATTTTAATGCTTTAATCTAATATTATGTTTTTTTTAAGATGTTATTTACGGTAGCGTTGATAGTTTTCAGCTAATTTGCATGATCTTGTGTCCAGTGAAATTTTAAGCTTTGATGGTTACGGCTTTGATGGATTCCTTATAACACACTATGAGACATCTCTAGTAGATAAGACTTCCATGTGTTTAGTAGCATTCAAGCAAGGAACAAGAAAATCATTCACCTAAAATTTAAAAAGTAATTATAAATAACACATAATTTAAACGTATATTTTGAGTTAAAAGATTAAAGATAAAAGAATCATTATACACAATTATTTACTGTTAAAATATATAATATAAGCCGCTAGGTCGTGTGGCTGTATTTCCGTTTGCCATCGTTATGACCGGTTTGTATTCTTTCTTATCCTCATTTTATATATTTCAAATAATTTACGACAGTTGGCTAAATAAATTACGATAATGGCATGCCTTGCTTGCATCTAGGCCCTAGATTTAGATCTAGATCTAGTATCTTTCAAATTAAATTTTAACTTAAATTAGTCAATTTCATAGCTAAACAAACAAATATATATATATATATATATATATATATATATATATATATATATATATATATATATTGTGTATATATTGTATATATATATATATATATATATATATATATATATATATATATATATATATGTATATAAATATATATATATATATATATATATATATATATATATATATATATATATATATATATATATATATATATATATATATATATATATAATGAAGGTCTGAAATAGTTTAGTATATTTCTCATTATTATCTAGATGTAGATAAATTTATTTAGATTCTACGACTGTTTTCATTAAGTCTAGTTTTTGCTGTAACTCTTGCTAGATCTAGATCTATAACCTAGAGAGATAAATCACTTGTATTCTTGAATTATATGACCCTTGAAGCTAAAAAGAAAAGATTTATATATCAAATATTTAAGGACTAAAATATTTCAATAGAGAAACTCAATAAATTGTTGTGATTTTAAAATAATTTGGCCCGACCTAGATTCTAGATCTATAAATAACTTTCTTGGACAGCTGATCTTTAGATTTATAAATAACTCTCTTTGACAGCTGATCTTTAGACTGTCGATCTAGAGAAATTTATTGTAAAACTAAATGAAAAAGACTTTTGAAAATTTATATAAGTTTTACAACGTAATGAAAAAAGCAAACGGACGTATTATTAAAATTATAGCCAACAGAAAATTAGCTTTATAACATGTTAAAGATCTGAATGGGCAACTCAATCTTCGAAGATACCGCCATTGTTGTTTTAAAAAGTAAATAAATCATGTGACGTCACTTTTCACTCTAAGTAAAGTCATTGTTTTAAAATTTTTGGATTAATGTGGTTAAACTACCAATAAGTAAATCAATAAATTAATTAACGTCTTTAAAAAATGTGTTATTAACAATCATTCTGAAAACAAAAATTGTTCTCTATCTACATACTATTTTACAGCTCTATACATAATTCAGATTCTCTCCTGTAGCCAAGCGGACAAACAAAAAAAAAAAACAAAAAATAAATAAATATTCAAACATGTAAACAAACTTGAGTATATATATATATATATATATATATATATATATATATATATATATATATATATATATATATATATATATATATATATATATATATATATATATATATATATATATAAATATATATATATATAAATATATATATATATATATATATATATATATATATATATATATATATATATATAAATATATAAATATATATATATATATGTCGAGAGTATAGTTTATTTAGTCTTAGTGTCGTAACCTTTTTTTGGTCCTTTGTCTCATTTGTTGAGCGACGCACTGAATAACTCTTAATATTTAATACGTCAATTACGGCTCATACTCTAAATTATGCAATTACAATTGTGTTAAGTAAAATAGTGCCCTACTCTTCATACATTGTTGATTATAAAAAAAATTATATATTACCCCTATAAATGTGTTGCTGCATCCATGAAAAAATCAGCAATCCGAAGATTAGATTCTCGGTAACTCTCTTGATTGAGCTCCCGTTTCTGGAGTATTTTACGACTTGAATACGTGAATCTATATACACGGAAATACATTTAGCTCCCATGAAGAAGATTCATTAAACATTTTAATAAAATAGAAAGAATATCACAAGAAAATGTGATCTTAGAAGAAAACAACTTAATGTAATTTTGTGTTTAACTACAAATAATACATACAAGTGCTGTAGTATAAAATATAAAACTAGCCGTCAGCAGCTAGACTATGCTTCAGCCATTTATAGCCATGTCTAAATATAATGTTTCATGTTGTTTTCCATTATTTCACACAATAACTTTCGTTTTGCATTTTATTTTCTTAAACCAAACTACAAACTAGAATATAAATGGATGCAAATGTTTAATCCTGAAAAAAATAATTTTCGTTTGTTTACTTGGCATGTTATGAATTCTTTATTTTTCTGCTTGTTCTAAAAGCTATTCATCTGCACTCTTAGATGAAATCATACATATTAAGGTAGTGTTGCATTATAAAATTTCGATTAATGTAAAATCATATACGTAAAAGTAGCTTATATTAAGCCATTTGTTTCTTGAACATTGGTCTAACGGAATAATATATTGGAGGGACGGCTTCTCACCTGATAAATAATGACACCTGTGTGCTAAACGATTGACATCATCTTTGTCAAAGTAATTTACACTGCAACAGTACCAGCCAACGTCTTGGTCTCTTAGATTATAGATTGCTATATCAAGCGTTGTTCCATCTTTGCTCAATCTCTTGTTGGGCTTCAATTTTCGATAATGTGGGATCATGCGCCAGTGACCTTTTCGAGCACGGTTGATTAGATTTACGTCTGGGTACTGTGCTCAAACAATGTATTGGATTTAAATTAACAAACATGTTTAAAATACATAAAATATGTTTATATATATATATATATATATATATATATATATATATTTATATATATATATAAATATATATATATATATATATATATATATATATATATATATATATATATATATATATATATATATATATGGCAATACAAACACAAAATATACGCACAGCACAACCGAAAACAAGAATAGCAACACAATATTATTATGTTATGTAGTTAGCGTAAAAAAACAACTTGAAGCATTGGAATATTAATTATCAATACAGTAAAACGACAGTAGCGGAAATATTCACTTTATATATATATATATATATATATATATATATATATATATATATATATATATATATATATATATATATATACATATATATATATATATATACATATAGATATATGTGTGTGTGTCCACACATTTATTTACAATTCTAAGATTTAAACCATATTATTAGTTACTTTACTATTTAGTATTATTTGTCTTCGTTTTTACAAAAAAAAATATTGTCTAAAAATATGTAAATGCTAAAACGTCGCAAAATTTTAAAAATAGAGTGCTTAGTCGGTATACAACAGCGCTTTTAATGCGTCACTTATTCTAAGCCTAATCGGTGGAACATTCTGAGCAGAAATCCACAGTAAACATAATTTCATCTAAATTATTGCATTTTAAATCTTTAAATCTTTACAGTTTTACTTTCTCGTATACACGAAGTATAGAGAAAGTCTTGTAATCGTGCAAAAAAAAAATCGCGACGTATTACAGCTCCATGAGTCGGAAAAAAATTGTTTTGGAATTTTATCCGTATGTCTGTGTATGTGTGTGTGTGTGTGTGTGTGTGTGTGTGTGTACCGTTACAGCAAGGTTGATGAAATTTTATATATAAGTATTTTAGAATATCGTAGATCCGTATCGATTTTTGTGTGGTTTCCGATAAACGGATATGGAACTTTTTCTACTTTGAATTTTTCAAAACACTTATAAGTTAAGTACTATTTCAGATAGATGATTGAATTTTCAAATGTACGTCAAAGATCAATTTCTCCGTCTTTTGTCAAATTTTGAGTTTTATCCATTGACCGTAACTATTCATTCTCAAAAAACGCTTGTGAATTTATAAAATACTAATAATATTCCGCACTGTTATTGTTTTTAGGAACTCAATGATCTAACACATATCTTTTTATTATGATAATAAACAATATTTAAAAAGCACAAAAAGCAATAGCTGTTTACTGTTAATTCTAAAAGCAATATTCACAGAGTTTATCTGTTGCAAAAAGCAATGATTCAGGTTGTAAAATAAACAACTATAGTTATTCCTTATTTTAAGTTTGTTTTTTTATCGTCAGGGGGCAGTAATACTCTTAATCATAGTGCTTTAATATGGTTTTAGCAAAATTTACCCAAGTTATGTAAATATATCTTCGTTAAGAACATCTGCGCGTGCTCATCTTCAAGACTAATCTTAAGCTTCTTGAAGTTGTGTGAGAATTTGTTTTATTTATTTAAGTGTATGTTTCATAAGTACATCTGTGCGTGCTGATCTTCAAGACGCATCTTAACCTTCTCGAAGTTGTGTGAGAATTTGTCTTTTTTTGTAGTGTTATTCCGTTTTCTCGTCATCACCACCCCTTCCCCCCACTTCCCACCTCATATAGCTGAATAAAGATATTTAACATTATCAATTTATAAAAAGGTGCATCTGTACAAGAAGGTAATGTTCTAGATAAGCTGACATACAAGGGACCTTCAGATTCCACTCCTGCTAATATTGACATATAAAAGATAAGCAAAATTGTATTCTACCGGACACACTTAACGTAGACAATTAACCTACGATACTAGACTGATCTAAAAGCCAAAGATAATAGGCCTCTGTGAATAGTACATGCCTAGCGCTGACATAGGTGACGATAAGATATGAAGTAGACTACATATCTACTAAGGATGAGTTTTTAAAAATGTGATACTTAGGGTACATAGTATAACAATTATTTGGTTCGTATTTTCGGTAGTGCGTTTGCTGTTGTTTTGCGTGTGTGTTGTTTTAAGTTCAATTTAATTATTCTCTGATAAAAGCGCCACTATCCTAAAATTGTTCGTAGAGGGACCTGCAGCTCACCCTTGCTCCCCCCCCACCTTCGAACGCTACTGTAATAATGGTATTGTTTTCATATATCAGATATGAAGGAGTCTTGCCGGACGGCAATATGTTTAGAACGTTGTTGTAAAATCTATATATATAATTCTCTTCTGGGGAGCCGCTAGAAAACAAGCTGCAAACGCGCTCCCTACCTCCCCACCCCTACATGGTTTTAGTGAGCTGTGTTCACTCTAAATGTTTACAAGCAGAGCCAACGATTTTAAACGTAGGGTGGGGGAAGAAGAGGGGGGGGTGTTTATGGTCCTTAACGAGCTACTTATAGTGTTTTAAAGAAATATTTTCAGTGGCAGCGTTGGTACTGTCGAATTCACAAATTATGAATTACTGAAAAGTAGAAAATAAAACAACTAAATAGCGGCGTATGATACGCTGCGGGTCGGCTCGTAAATAATAAAAGTGGTTGATGAAAACAGGAAAGGTGGTAGATTATCAAGGCAAGTCGAATGGGGCGTATTTTTTTTTTAAATAAACATTATCAGTTGGAGCATACTGGAAAAGTTAAAAAAGGTAAAAAATAAAAGTATGCTAGATATGACCAATTAATACAAGTATAAGTTTATACTATTTTATCAAACACGTTTGTTTAGGTAAAGCTTAAATTATAATCTGTAGAGAAACTGACTTTTAAATGTTTTTTTTAACCATACACTTACCCGATAGTTATACCAATATATTCTTAAAGTATACTTAAAATAGGAGTTTGGATCGAAATCTTTATTTTGCCAGAACAACTCCACTCTGTCTACCTCTGTTGCCGTATCTGGAACTCCCGCGAGATCAGGGGTACATTGGATTATTTTATAATCTCGATCTTGTGCAATTGTGCTTGCTTCCACTATAGAGTGATGTGAAACTGTAAATATTGGAAAATGAAATGACAATGAACCTAAGTTTAAGCTCATCATAACATCAAAACAGTACAATTTTATATATATATATATATATATATATATATATATATATATATATATATATATATATATATATACTAGCTGCGAAAAAAGGCTATATATAAATATATATATATATATATATATATATATATATATATATATATATATATATATATATATATATATATATATATATATATACTAGCTGCATCCCGTGCTCCGCCACGGTAAATCTTTTTTAAAAGGTACCAACTTGGGAACAGAACAAAACTAAACACAACACAAACGAACGCAAAAAAACAACGAAAAAACAAACACAACACTCATAACATAAACACAATTTAAATGCAATCATAAAGGCATATTGCACACAGTCTAGCCTGTAGCGCCAAATCGCGCCCTTTCCGAGCGCCGGCGGAGACGTCTGACACAGTGAATGACTACAAAACAGAGGCGTAGCGACCCTTTCCGGCGCCTAGGGGACAAACTTTCGATTTGACCCTCCCTAAAATTTACGATTTGCACCCCCTCCCCTCAAAATTTCAACTTCCAATCCACCACCTTAAACTTTTGATTTGCACACTTCCCCCCCCCCCCCCCTTCAGACTTTCGATTTGCACTACTTTTGATTTGAAATTCCCCCAGCTCAAACTTTTGATTTGTACCCCCCAGCTTTTTTTCTAACGTCTCCCAGAAGAGAATTATATATAGATAATTAGTAAACCGAACGTTCACTGAATAAAATAAATAAAAGATTGCCTTTTATCAATCCATGCTAATTATAATTTTCTAACGATAATTTCCTCTTACACATCCGCATAATTTGCATTCACATTTAGCAAATTATATTATTGCAACACTAATTCCTTCTAGGAGGTCTGTAGATTTACATTCACATTTTTTTTTTATTATCGTGATTTTAATTTATTTTTAAATTACGTCGCTTGTCAAAATTAGGAAATAGAGTTAAGTTAAGTTGATTTTATTTTTCTACACTACTGTTATTATGTTATTAAAATGAATCTACTTTTTCTAGGAATATAAACGAAAATGATATTTGACATTGATCCTTTTAATATGTTTTAGAAATGTGCATGTATTTAATATGTTCTTGCCGTTATGCAAAAGAGTAAAAACAGTGGCAAGTATAAACTAGCTTTATGTCGTTATATAAACGAACCCTACTTTATTACAGGAAAGTACCGCATGGTGCGAAGTCTACTTTTATGGTTCCAATATCTATATCGATGACGGAAGGACTGACACACTACCAAGCCGTTTATATTATATATATATATATATATATATATATATATATATATATATATATATATATATATATATATATGTGTATATATATATATATATGTATATATATATATATATATATATATATATATATATATATATATATATGTATGTAGGCCTAATTTGTTTTTAAATTTTAAAAAAAAGACACTTCGATTTAAACAAAACTAGTTACTGGTAGACATTAAGAAAATCCAAATATATTTAGGTAAAGCAGTTAAAATTTATGAATTTCAGTTACTTGTATTTTCACTGAAATGAAATATTATATGTTCAAAAATAATTGATACGATTAGAGGAAAAAAATTAAATAACCTAATAAAAATATATACCAACATACTACTTATTATTTTAAATTTTAATTTTAAAAAAAAGCTATTTGTATAAATCGAAATTTAAAAGAATAAGTATTAACAAATCACGCCTTAATAAAAGAAACCAACCTATAAAGTCCTCACAACGTTTTGAGGGGGATTGCAATTCTCCGTTCTTTCTGGTGTAGCTAGAGCAGCAAAACTCGCCTTGGTCATCGGGGGTGATATTTATCATATCGATTTCCAGCCTGAATTTGTCCCTATGGAAAAGATTACGACTGTTCCTGGGATAGTGTCCAGAAACCCTAGTTCGCCAGTGAGTGTTTACACCAATTGTTCTCACAGTGCCAAACTATACAAAGATTAAAAAATAACAACGTACAATGATAAATATGCATGACTAAACATATTTCGATAAAATTATTGTGTTATTTTAATATCGCAAATCGTACAGAAAAGTATTCCCAGAAACCTGTATTATATACTACTATGTTCATCATAAGTTATTTGTAATAGCTTTTGAACCTACACCCATCCATTCTGAAAAAAATTCAACTAAATATAATATTTTACGTTTGTTGCTATGTTAATTTTAATAACTTCCTAACCTATAACAGTAAACATTAACTTACAAAAACACAAAATTACACACACACACACACATTCACATATATATATATATATATATATATATATATATATATATATATATATATATATATATATATATATATATATATATATATATATATATATATATATATAAACATATATAATTTTTTGTTTTACGTTTATGTTTTTATTCATATTTGTTGTTGTTTTTGTTGTAATATTCAAGTCTGATATTTTCTATTTTACAATTCCCAACGATTATGATTTCAAGAACAATTAAAACCTAAGTACCAAACGTATTTTAAAATATGGACTTCCAGTCTACCTAAATTACCTTGGTACTGAACTCGTAAAAGAATTTTTCATTCCAACTCAGCTCCAATGCAAAAATGCCTTCAGGGCTGCCATTTTCAGGGACACCGGCAAGATCAGAATCACAGAAAACAGTAACTTCTGAACCTAGCTTTATTATTTTCGGTACTATTGATTTATGTAGTACTGCAATAAATCACATAATTTTTTTAATTGAGCATATATTGATTATTTTCTTTTATCGAAATAGCCGGCGAAAGTCCAAATTTTTTTAATTAAATTTAGGCGGTGAATTGAAATGAAATATGCACCCTTTTGCTGTGGCATATATATATATATATAGAAGGAATACCGTCCTGTGCGTCAAAGCGGTCTCATAATTTGAAACATTCGAGGAAACAAGTTATGATAATATTATTCAATTTGTATTTGATTTGAAAGGTATAATTCATTTAAAAATGAAAATATGATACAATTCAATGTAGCTACTTTTGTAATTATATATGTATCGATGAGTATTAAAGGTGTATTTTGATACTAGTGATCTAATTTTCTGATTAGATAATGTAAAAATTAAAAGTCAATACATGGGCGAAAAGTGGCACATGGGTAGTAAGTGAGTCATTTAGGAAATGTGTAAAAGTCACGGATCATGGAAGATTATGACCACAAAAATATCTGAGTTAAATAAAAAACACAACCAACAAATGAAATTCTTCCATTAAAATGAAAACTAAATTTGAGATTCTAATTGGCTTGTTTAGAAGTTGCACATCTTATCCCCTTTGTCATGAAAACGAGTTCGTGATACAATTGAAAATGTGTTTAAAAAATCGTTAAAATGAACACAAATCATAGACAAATAATTTAGTTGCGTCATAAAGGGAATTCAAAAATTATGCTAAAAATGTCGACTCTATTCAAAGGATTGTGAAGATACTAAATAATGTTTTATGGAAATCTCTTTACAGCTTTTACTCACAAACTGCTGGCGCGACGATAAATATTGACACAGTTTATTTATTGCTTTTTTTATGCTGGCACATGTACGTTTTGGTCCAAAATTAACGAAATATTTTACTGTTGCAATTTTGCTTTATTACACAATTTCACGACTCTCCTCTATTTGAATCAGCTAACGTTAGTATGATGTGTATGCACAGATTATGGCTAAAGTAAAAAAATTATCATAAATTAACGTGAAAAGTCTATATAATCATACTAAATAAACTTATGAGAATTATGTAAATTTAATAAAGTTAGCTAGGTTAAGTAAGGCTACATTTTGAAATTTAAAAATTAGATTTAGTTATTAATAGTTTTCAAAATAGTACATTGTATAATATACAAAATTTGAGTTCAATCAGATCTAGTAAGGAAGTAGTATTATATTATTTTGATGCTCCTAAGAATAGTAATAATAGAAATAACAGAATGGAAGAGTAAAAGATAAGAGCTGATTTATTTTTAATCTTCTTAATTATTTTAATATATTAATTTGTATACTCATAGTCTAATGTAGTGATCTTTTAACTCATAACATACTGGAGATTTGTTAATAGTCTGTAGAGTCAAAAAGTGTCAATAGTCGTATATGTTTTAACTTACAAATTTAATATAATTATCGAACTTTTTATCTTAGTAGAAAAGTAGATGTATGAATTGATAATAGTTTTAGTTATCCAGTTTGTTTATCACTTTTCAACTAATTTAGAGGTGGATAAATATAAGTAGCAAATCTTTATTGATACATTTTTTTTAATGAAATTAATATTTGACTTCTGACGGGTTATAGGGTCTGCAACAAATTCCCGACAGACACTTGTGCGAATGCCGTTTTCCTGAAGACCGATTTCCCAAAAGGACACCTACCCGAATGCGCAAAAAAAAAACAATAGTCACTTGCCCGAATGCGACAAACGCCCCAATGGACACTTGCCCGAATGCGACATATGGCCGAATGCTTTACATTTTTAAACAGTCATGTTTTGAAACTGGATTTAAGCTTTTCGTCGTTATTAAGAAAGTAAGATGACACGCTTTTGCTTTGCATTTCCAAACAGTTATGTTTAGAAATTGGATTTACGTTTTTCGTCGTTATTAAAACGTATGATATAAATTGTTATAAAATAATTTATCAATTGACTTACATAAATTGTTGGCAGAGCACATTGGGCTAAAATATTTTCAAAACAAATCGCTATTTTAAAAACAAAATAGCAATATGTATGGTAAGCGGGGTTGTGGATGGATTAGGTAAACTTTAAGTGCGTCAGATCTGGCTTTTTTGCAGAAGTTGAATAGGGGAGGGGGGGGGTGAGGAAAAAAAACTTGACATAATTTATGGACTATCGCTTAATCGTAGGTTGAAAATGTCTGATCTGGATTGCTTAGACATACATTAAAACAGTATTGTAAGTGTTGATATTAATTAGCCTAGCGGTTTATTTATATAATAAAATATAATATAATATATCACCCGTGTCACTACAGCACACTGACTCTATTAATCAAAATTTAAAATAAAAGTGTTTGTCTATGTATTATTTTTTTTGCTGTTAAGTATTTGTTTGAATATGTCAAGCCTTAATAAAACCGGAAGTCATTTTTACTTATTTCACTAATGTAAAATGTTCAATTTTGTTTTTAAAAAATATACTTTCTGGTAACAAACATATGGAACCATTTTTAAGTCTCTTCAGATAAGCACTGATTGGATTTAGCGCATTTTCTGGCGACTATATTAATTCTAATTTAATGCTTACATTTGCTTTAATTGAATGTGTTGCTGGTTTAATGGACGAATGTCTATACGTTTTCTAACTTAAGGTAGCGCTAGTTCTGCATACCTTTTCACTAGTTTGTAGTTGAACCTCAGCAGAATTACAAAATGATGTTGATTTGAATAAAAATTGTAAAAAAAATTTCAGATTATTTTTGTAATTGAAAAGTGATTGTGTTAAAAGCAAAGGTTGAACATTATGTTAGGAAGTTCTTGACATTTTTTGTATGCAATTAATTCATCCTTTGCCTTAACCCCATTGACACACATTACTTGTGAAAGCTCAACACTAGATCTAGATTTAAATACAGTATAACTAAGTCAACAGTAGTTGTGTCTTGTTAAAGAATTATAGACCAACATTATGAGCTTACCTTGTGCTGATATGGACCTGACACCCAGGAATGCTAATGCTACCGTAATCAGAGCCATGTTTGCTTTTTCTCTATTTCTATATGTTTATAAAGTAATTCTGTTCTATTTCTATTATTTCAGTTTTTAATCTTGAACTCGAAGACCCAATGTAAATGTGTGAAATGCGCACCAATTTTATGGATAATACAAAAATGCACGCTTTAGAAAAAAACAAGCCATTAGTTACTCGTGAATTGTAGGCTTATATTTTTAAAATGTTATACTTGTTGTAGATAAATATTATATAAAATAGTTATTGGTCAAAAGACAATGTGCTTTAATACACATTCAGATATATTAGTGACAAAGCAAAGAATTAACTAAATAGCTAATAACCCTAAGCATATAACCCTTTATCTACAAACGGTACTTATAAGTACTACTTTAATTAAGTGCCTATATTATTTTTAATTTTATACGAGTTTTAAATAATTAATGATGTAATTAATAGTATTATCTCCCCTGAGTCGCCGGTAGTTGGTGGGATCGGTGTTTTTTTGAAAATGTCTGGTGTGTCGCCATTTTCAACGTCTTATTGTATCGGTAGTTCACAATTGTACAATTTTAATCAAATTGTCTCTGTATTAGATCGATGTATACAAGTCGCGTCAGGACACACGGTCATTTTTTTTGTTAGGATTTCTAGGAAATGGAAGATTTTTTTATGTGGAGTGACATAAATATTATTTTGATCATTATTTATCGAAATATACTCAAAAATGATATTTGCACATTTATAAGATGGTTAGCATATGGTTTATGTAAGAAATATTGTAATTACATGTTGATTTCTAGTAGTAAAAGAATAACAAGAATAAAGGTAGCTGTTGCAGACTCGTTTACTAGATTTAGTATACTTCATTTGCTTACCAAAGCCTAGTTTTAGTAGTAAGATTTAATTTGTTAGTTGTATTTATTGCACTAAACTGTCTTGTCTACAATACCTAGCTTTTACTTAATGTATACCTGTTGACTAGTAATAGTCCATACTTCTGCATATAGTATAGATCTATAAGGTAAATTTTAATCAGTAAACCGAAAACAGTAGGCCACTACGGCTATCCTAAACACATTGAGCTCACTTCTATTTATGAACTTTGCCCTGTAGTGTAGACTTGTCATAACATTCTAGTAGACTACATCTATAGTGGTATTACTAGTAGTTGTGTGCTGAATTACTAGGCTTTTGTTTGTTTATGCGGCTCATTGTAATAGCTATTGGAAGCTTCCAGCAAAAGCATGTTCAGTCCGGCAACCGCTGCTACACCAGAAATACCACAGAGAAGAATGATTGAGCATGACAAGTCGGCAACTTTTGCTGTGTTTGAGGTCTAAGATGTGTTTCAATAGAAAATCGAGTAACAATCGTACTCAAAATATAGGCTACTGATGCGCTGTATTTACGTATGAAAATTACAAAAAAAAAGATTGTTTTAATGATTGCCATGTTAAACTTTATGTGCGGCAGATCTGGCTTTTTTGTAGAAATTGAATAGCGGAGGGGGGTGAGGAAAAAACTTTACATAGTTTATGGATTATCGCATAATCATAGGTTGAAAATGTCTGATATGGATTGCTTAGACATATAATAAAACAGTATTGTAATTGTTGATATTAATTAGCCTTTAATTATTATTTTAATGGGGTATAGCCTGTAGTTTATTTATATAATATAATATAATATAATATAATATAATATAATATAATATAATATAATATAATATAATATAACACCCCTGTTACTACAACACACTGACTCTATTAGCCAAAATTAGAAATAAAATTGTTCGTCTATGTATTATTATTTTGCAGTTAAGTATTTGTTTGAATATGTCAAGCCTTAATAGATCCGGAAGTCATTCTGTATATATTTAACTAATGTAAAATATATTTCCTGGTACAAACATATGGAACCATTTTCGAGTCTATTCAGATAAGCACTGTTTGGATTTCGTGCATTTCTGGCAAATATATTAATACTAATTTAATGCCTACATTAGATTTAATACTGTATATTATGACTGTATTGTTGGTTTATTGTACGCACACTAATACGTTTTCTAACTTAAGGTTGCGCTAGTTCTGAATATCTTATCACTAGGTTAAAGCTGAACCTCAGTAGATATACAAAATGTTGTTGATTTGTATAATGTAAAGATGTTCATATTATTTTTGTTATTAATAAGTGATTGTGTTAAAAACAACGGTTTTACATTATGCCAGGAGTTTCTTGACATTCTTTTGTACAAGTCATCTTCGCTTTTCTTAGCCCTATTGGTACAAATTATTTGTAAAAGCTCAACACTAGATCTAGATCTAGATTTAAATACAACAAAGTCAACATTGGTAATGTCTTGTCAAAGAATTAAAGACCTAAATTATGAGCTTACCTTGTGCTGATATGGTACAGACACCCAGAAATGCTAATGCTACCGTAATCAGATCCATGTTCAATTTTATGATTAATTATGTTCTATGATTTCCGTTTTTTTAACTTGAAGTCGAAGACCCAATGCAAACGTTTTAATTGCGCACCAATTTTATGTGTAATAAAAATGCACGCCTTTATTTACAAACAAGCCATCAGTACCCGTTGCAATTGAAAAGTAGGCTAATAATTTAATTTTCTCGTATACAAAGTATAGAGAAAATATTATAATCATACTGTAATCCCTGAGTCGGAAAAAGAGAATTTAAATCTTGTCCGCTTTTCTGTGTGTATGTGTGTTTGTGTGTGTGTTTGTGTGCCTGCGAACACGATAACTTCAGTACCGTTACAGCTAGGTTGATGAAATTTCACATATAAGTATTATATCATAATCGTAGATCCGTATAACTTTTAAGCGATTTTCGATAACCGGAAGTGGAACTTTTTCAACTTTGAATTTTTCAAAAACCTATAACTTTAGTACTGTTTTTAGATAGATTAATGAAATTTCACATGTAAGTAAAAAATCTGATTTTCTGCCTTCTTTCAAATTTTGAGAAATTTCCGTCGATCGGAAGTAGTAATTCACGCTATTTCCGATTTCTCAAAAAGAACGCATGTGAATTTATAAAGTACTAATAATATGCCGCACTATTATTTGGCGTTCACTTGGTGTGCAATTCTTTTCTTCTACGAGATTCTATTATATTATAAAAAGTTTAAGTATTTAAACATGGATTACAAATATTGTCTATGTCCTAAGTTGTCATCCCCCGTAGTTTTATATTAGATGTGATGAAGGACTGTCAAAATTTCATGTGATTTTAGTGGACGATTACAATATTTATTCTCTATACTCAGTATACAAAAAAAGTAATAAATTGTATTTTTTTTCTGTGTTTTTGTAATCTATTGCCTTTGTGTTATTTGTATTCTTAAAACTGATTAGCTGGTACACAGTTTAATGGTAATTGTAAAGATAAGTTTAGTAAATAAGTTTTCTTTCAGTAAAATCCACTCAACAAAAGAACTTAGGAAATAATTGGTAATAAGAGCATTATTATCTTCTTTGACTATAACTAAATACATTGAAAAATCTCTGAAAACGTAAAAAATAGATGTATTTCTTGACATTTGGCTACAGAGCCTGATTCAGTGACTCCTGTTGCAATAGTAAAATAGGAAAAAATAAAATAAGTAAAAATACCATCCTCCATGGTGATCAGCTCGTCAACATTCTCACAAAAGTGACATCGGAAATGGAACAAAAATGTATTTTACTAAAAAGAGTTCGCATTTAATTAGTTAATAAAGGATGCAACAATATAGTTAATGAGTATCTGTAAAATAAAAAATCTATGTGTGTTTACAATAGTACGTTGCCATATGGCAAAAGTATGCAATATAGGGTTAAAAATTGTTATTTTCTTTATGGTAGTTAAGAACGGTTTATAAGCAGGTTTCATGTTATACGTTCATTAAATACTATAAACCACGATGAACAATAATTATATCGACACGATACGTCGACTACTGCTTTTGCCTATGAGAATTTAACTTAAAATTATTATGTACATCAGTGCAGTACAACACAGCAAGACCTCTACTTCTCTCATTTATGTCGCCAGCAGCTAAACATATAAGATTTCGCGTAACAAGTATTAGCACACCGATCTAAATAAAGAAATTTGACGCGAAATTTTTGTTATAGGCTTGGAAAGGAGGATTCAAATGGTTCTAAATGGTTCTTGCCAGAAAGCATATTTTCCAAACATAAATTTAATATTTTATAATATTTGAGAAATACGATTTTTTTTTCAAATTTTGTAATATTTTAAAGTATTTTCAAACCTATTAATCGACAATCATGGAAATAAATAAAAGTCGGGACGATTAATCTTCCTAGTAAAAAGAATCAAAACTTGATTTATTTACGTTTTCAAATTGTAATGCTTCTAAATGATGTTTAATAGTTTTTTTCCGATGTTATTTTCAGAAAAATCTTTTTGTATATTATTTCACGACGTAAACAAAAAAGAACTTTCACGGTTTTCTTATAACACCAAATGAGGCCAAATTTTTATTGTTGTTTTTTTCACGATCCTGTAAAAAATATTTCGTTTTTAAAACCTCCAGATATTTTTAGCGCAATTTCCATACTGACAATTGCGATTATCAATTGGTTATTTCTGGATGGATGGAAGGATGGATGTGTGTCCGCAGCTTTAAGTCGTATCTCCTCCTAAACGAAGCAATATCGTGGACTAGTTCCAAAAGCAAATATGTTAAGCAAGTTCCGAGGATGATTGTGGGCCAAAAAAAAGTTCCGGAATTCCTTCCTGGATTTCCCGGAAAAGCCAAAAAAAAAACCCTCGAAAAAATGCAGTTTTTGGCCCATATCTCGGCAACCAGACCATTTAGCGACTTGAATCATTTACCAATCGATTTCTGCCATAATTTAGAACAATATTGCTGAAGAAAGTTTTCAAAAATATCCTTTCGTTCGGTCACAAAAAATTAAAAATTGTTATGGATAACATAAGGAAATTGCGCTTAAATTGTCACTAGACTTTTTATTAACTTGTTTTCCATTTATGCCACAAATTTTTTCGATTTCCGCTATTGTAAGACGTGTCACAAAAACTACTAAGTGTAAAATCTTCGTCTGATTTCATTATTATAAGCTTTTGATTCTTCACAAATGTTGTTTGTTTTTTATGTTTGTTAGGTTAGGTTAAGTTTGCCTGCCGTTGTTAATAATATCGTAATTTTATTTATATTTTTCTCATTTGACAATGCGAGAATACATATTGTTTATTCAGATTAGAAATTAAAAATTTAATTTAATAATAACGTAATTCGATAATAAAAAGAGCGATACAAATAGCATGTACTAGCGATCACTCTATCAGCTAACCAAAGAAGGTGAACTCATTTGTTAAAGAATGATTGATTTTTATTTGCCTGAGTGGGGACAGTGGACCAGTTCTTTAAAAAATTCTTTAAAAAAATGTATTCATGTAGTTATTCAGGTAGAGAGTAACATAGCTCTGCCGTCCCTTCTCATCGTATAACTCTTACAACAAAACCAATGTAATCTTTTTAGGCTATACAATCACATCCAGCATGCAAACTTAAGGGTGCGGCCTGGTGTAAAGTGCTAGATTGTGTTAACCCGAAAGTCTCGATGTTCTAGTCCGGTTTCAAGTCAGCAGAATGTTCCTGAATCCACCAAAAAAATAAAGGCGGCTCGAAATAGTGCTGACAACATTATCCCTTCATATGCCAAGAAAACACATGGATTCTGCTCCATCTGCCCCATGTGTTATGGGCACAAACGTGTTGATGATAGCGAATATTATTTAAATGAGGCACGTACGGTATGCATTATAATACATTCAAGAATAAAAAACAACACGTAAAATAATTAGACCGGCACAACATGTTGAGCACTACTTTGACTGTGTTTCTAATATTACAGGACAAAAGCGTAGTACCACCACACCAAGACGTTCACTTCTTACATCTTAAATAATGATATTAACTAAAAGTTAATAAAAACTTGATTTATTTGCATTTACAAATGTTAATGCTTTAATCTAATATTAAGTGTTTTTTAAAGATGTCCTTTACGGTAGCGTTGATTGTTTTCAGCTAATTTGCGTGATCTTGTGTCCAATGAAATTCAAAGCTTTGATGGTTAGGGCTTTGATGGATTCCTTATAACACACTATGAGATATCGCTAGTAGATAAGACTTCCAGGTGTTTAGTGGCATTGAAGCAAGAAACAAAAAAAAATTATTCACCTAAAATTTAAAAAGTAATTATAAATAATACATAATTTAAACGTGTATTTTAAGTTAAAAGATTAAAGATAAAAGAAGCTTTATACACAATTATTTACTGTTAAAATATATAATATAAGCCGCTAGGAAGTGTGTCTGTCTTTCCGTTTGCCATCGTTATGACCGGTTTGTATTCTTTCTTATCCTCATTTTATATATTTCAAATAATTTACTACTTAATCGACAGTTTGCTAAATAAAGTACGGTAATGTCACGCCTTGCTTGCATCGCACTGTCTTATTAAAAAAATGTAGTTTAGTATTTACTGAGTTACTTTTCTACATACATTGAAAGATTTGATTTTATATGACATCCCAGCTGATATTAATTGAAAACAATTATATATATATATATATATATATATATATATATATATATATATATATATATATATATATATATAATATTATATATTACCCCTATAAATGTGTAGCTGAGTCCATGAAAACATCAGCAACCCTAAGATTAGATTTTCGGTAACTCTCTTGATTGAGCTCCCGTTTCTGGAGTGTTTTATGGCTTGAATACGTGAATCTATACACACGGAAATACATTTAGCTCCCATGAAGAAGATTCATTAAACATTTTAATATAATAGGAAGAATATCACAAGAAGATGTGATCTTAGAAGACTAATTTAATTTAATATTTGTGTTGAACGACAAAATAATACATAAAAGTGCTATAGTATATAATATTAAACTAGCCGTCAGGGACTAAAATTTGGTTCAGACATTTATAGGCATGTCTATGTATAATTGTACATGTTGTTTTCCATTATATCACACAATTTCCTTTTGAATTTTATTTTCTTAAACCAAACTACAGACTAACATATAAATGGAAGCAAATGTTTAATGCCGAAAAAATGATTTTCTTTTGTTTCCTTTGAATATTATGCATTATGTATTTTTCTGGTTGTCTTAAAAGCTATTCATCTACATTCTTTGATGACATCATAAATAATAAGGTCGTGTTGCATTATAATATTTCAATTAATTAAATGTAAATTCACGTACGTTAAAAATAGCTTATATTAAGCCATTTAATTCTTGAACATTGGTCTAATAATACGGGATAATATATTAGAGGGACGGCTTCTCACCTGATAAATAATGACATCTGTATGCTAAACGATTGACATCATCTTTGTCAAAGTAATTTACACTGCAACAGTACCAGCCAGAGTCTTGGGCTTGTAGTCCATAGATCAATATACCAAGCTTTGTTGCATCTTTGGCCAATCTCTTGTTGGGCTTCAAGTCTTCATAATCCCGCTGCAGGCGCCAGTGACTTTTTCCATTAGGTTTGATTGAATTTAAGTCTGGGTACTGTGCTCAAAAAATATATTGTGTGAGAATTTTGTTTTAATGGTTTATTCTGTTCCTCGCCCCCACCCCCACCCCCACACACTTCCCACCGCATATAGCTGCATACTGATATTTAACATAATCAATTTATAAATAGGTGCATCTGTACAAGAAGGCAATGTTATACATAAGCTGACATACAAGGGACCAGCAGTCCCCTCTGCTAATCTTGACATATAAAAGATAAGCAAAATGGTATACTACAAGGCACACTTAACGTAAACAATTAACCTAAATTTCTAGACTGAACTTAAATGCTAAAGTTAATAGGCCTCTGTGAACAGTACATGCCTAGCGCTGACATAGGCGACGATAAGTAAGACAAGAAGTAGACTACAGATCTACTTACGATGATTTTAAAAAAAAAATGTGATACTTAGGGTACATAAGATAACAATTATTTGGTTCGTAGTTTCAGTAATGTTGGCTGTTTTACGTGTGTGTGTTGTTTTAAATTCAACTTTAATATTTTTGATAAAGCCGCCACTATCCTAAAAATGTTTGTAGAGGGACCTGCAGCTCACCCTTGCTCCCCCAACATTCGAACACTTCTGATAATGGTATTGTTTTAATATATCAGATATGAAGTAGTATTGCCGGACTGCAATATGTTTACAATGTTGTTGTAAAAGAAATAATAAAAGGTGTTGATAAAAAGAGGAAAAGGTGGTAGATTAGCAAGGCATGTGAAACGGTTAGATTATTAAAAAAAATACTAAAATTATTTTTTTTAAATACAAACTTTATCAATTGGACCGAATTGGAAAAGTAAAAAAAATGGTAAAAAGTATATTAGATATAGCAGGTGTATTGCTGGACGGCAATATGTTTACAATGTAGTTGTAAAAGAAATAATAAAAGTGGTGAATAAAAGGGGGAAAAGGTGGTAGATTATCAAGGTATGTCAAACGGTTATGTTTTCACAACAAAAATACTAAAAATATTTTATATCAAAATAAACTTTATCCTTTGGAGCATATTGGAAAAGTTAAACAAAGGTAAAAAAAAAAGTATACTAGATATGATCAACTAATTCAAGTATAACTTCATACCATTTTATCAAGCACGTATATTTAGGTAAAGCTTAAATTATAATCTGAAGAGATACTGACTTGTAAATGTTTTTTAACCATACACGTACCCGTTGGGAATACCAATATGTAGTTAATGTATACTTAAAATAGGAGTTTGCATCGAAATCTTTATTTTGCCAGAACAACTCCACTCTGTCTATCTCTGTTGCCGTATCTGGAACTCCCGCGAGATCAGCGGTACAGTGAATCATTTTTAAAGTTGGATCTTGTGCAACTAAGCTTGCTTCCACTATAGAGTGATGTGAAACTGTAAATATTTGAAAATGAAATGACAATGAACCTAAGTTTAAGCTCATCATAACATCAAAACAGTACAATTTTAAATATATATATATATATATATATATATATATATATATATATATATATATATATATATATATATATATATATATATATGTATATATATATATTATAAAATTGACATACAACAAGATTATACTGGCCAAATGCATCAACTTGTAGTTAGAACAATGTTAAATTGAAATGTTCGATAGTGCTTTTCTACATCATATGGTCGAGTTTTTCGAAAAAAATCAAGATTTGTAGTTAAAACAAGAAAATACTGGGACGATATATATATATATATATATATATATATATATATATATATATATATATATATATATATATATATATATATATATATTTATATATATATAAAGCAATGTATGTTTGTGTGTGTGTCTGTGTGTCTGTGTCTGTGTCTGTGTCTGTGTCTGTCTGTCTTTTATGCATTACTACACCTCTCATCACATCGCCGTGAAATTTTGGGAAGTTGTTGTGAATATTCCTGGGGAGGTTTCTGCGGGAAAAAAATCATCGTTCATCCGATAGCCATGAGACTTTGGGAAGTTCATAATAACACTCTAGGGAAGGGTTCTGTAAAAAATATTTTTAACTTCGCAAGAGCGGCGCCACGGGAGGGTGCGATTTTTCTCCATATACGCTATATAAAAATAGTACAAGAGAATTACGGTGACACCGTTCACACGATCGCAATGAAACTTTGGGAAGATGTTGAGAATATTTCTGGGGAGGTTTCTGCGCTAAAAACATTTTCGAATTCGCAGGGGTGGCGCCCCGGCAGGGCGCGACCTGTTTTCTCTCGATATATGGTATATTAAAATAAAAGTCGATTGCGGTATCACAACGTTTATGCGATAGCCATCAAACTTCAGAACTTGATTAGAACACTCCAGGGAAGGGTTCTGTAAAAAAGTAATTTTTATTTTCGCAAGGGCGGCGCTACAGGAGGGTGCGATTTTCTCTATATAATGTATATAAAAATAAACGTCGGTTGCGGTTTCACGGCGTTCACCCGATTGCCATCAAACTTTGGGGAGTTCATTAGAACACTCAGGGGAAAGGTTCTGTAAAAAGTCATTTTTATTTTCGCAAGGGCGGCGCCACCGGAGGGTGCGATGTTTCTATATGTACGGTATACACAAATAACAGACAATTGCGGTTCGACGCATTTTATCCGGATGCCATAAAACTTTCGGGAGTTGATGAATACTCCCGATAAGGTTTCTGGGGTGGGAGAGGGGTGGTATGGGTGGGTGGTGGTGGGGAGGGGGATTTAAATTTGCATTGGAGGCCCCCCGGCTGGATGAAATTTAGCGCCACGGTCTTTCCCGTGCGCGCTATGGCGACTACGTTGAGTCTAAACAGCGTGATAGACAACGGATAGGATTAGGCGTTACAAACGCTCACTAAATTGAATCAAGCGGGTCCGCTGGCGCCCTGGTAGGGTGTGATTTGGCTGCAAACAAAAATTTCAGTTTCGGCCCCTAAAGGCTCACATGGGCCGCTGTGGGCCATGTAATACGTTTTATTTTAATAATAAAAAAAAACTAACCAAGGTTAGATTATGAACTGGGATGTTTCTTTTTGCCCGTAAAAAATCCAAACTGTTTCGTCACTTT